CTCCCCTTTGCTCTGATCACTTACTATTAATTACAATGCTTAATCTCCGTGGTCACAATAGAGGGTGGGCTGAAGTTCTTTCTAGGCAGAAGTAATCTTGACCTTTGGAAGGCCCTTAAATTCTTCCTTCCTTTATGTAAAATAGGATTAGGCCAAAACTGGCCCAGGACACCTCTGCCCTCTCCAAGTGAAATAGATAAATATATTAGGATTCCTTAAATTAGGTTATAGATCCCTACAAAACTGTATAAGTATCATTCTTTATTAAGATCCATAAAAACTAATATCTATTCTTGAGATTTTCTTTTCTCAGCACCATTCCCAGTAATCACAAGATGGCTGCTACACCGCATCAGCTAATAATCATCTCTGCTTTCCAGAACCGCTTTCCCGAAACTGCATTCCATGGAGACCCACCTACAATTGAGGAACTGCACTAGACCCACCCTTAATCCACCCCTGAATAGGAACTGCACTAGACCCACCCTTAATCAAACCCTGAATAGAATCTCTGTTCTTTATTGTTAAAAACTTTGAGTTGTTAATTGAAACACTAGCCCCTCTCCCATTTACTTGTAACACATTTTCAATAAAAAGGCACGATGATTCCTAGCAGTTGTCACTCCTCAGAGGGCCACCTCTGAGGGGTGTCCGGCATAGGACGTGCATGAAAAGGCATCGAGGCCTCTGTCTTCTGTTCACCTTCACCGCCTCCGTGGAGATAACCCACCCACGCCGAGGCTGGACCCTGGCAGGGCCTTAACCGAAAGCCACGTCTCCTGGGAGGGTGGCCTGCTCAGGGCGGAGCCCCGGAGCCCTCTGGGGGGGGGGCACACACTCACCAGTTTATGGTGGCAGCCTGACAGCGCATCCAGGATCTCGTCCACGATGCGGTCGGACAGGAAGGAGGCCACCGTCAGCTTCACCTCACTGCGGGGACAGACAGAGTGGCCTTCACCGTGTGTGGGGAGCACCGTCCACCCCCGCGCCCACAAGGGCAGCGCGAGTCCTGGTTGGTCCTTGAAAGCACAACACGAGGACGTGTGAGCAGGGCCGAGGACTTCCCCCGGCAGCCGGAGCAGTGCTGTCACACAGGCGTGGACTTCCCTCACGCCATCTGACCCCAGAAGGCTGCCCCGACAGCAGACGCCGGCCCACGGCTTTCACTGATACGCAGACCCCGCTGTGAAGGGTTCCGTCAGATGCCTGGTTTTTTGCCAGTGTTTTAGGAACTCTGCATTCGTAAGAATTCCGTTTCCATGTGTGCTCTAATGCACGCGTGAACAAGTGTACACACATGCCCGAGGTATTAGGGACAAACGTGCTGGAGAGACAGCCCCAGGCCAAGGCCGCCCCACGAATGCAGTCTAAGCCAGCCACTATCCAGTGGGCAAAGCGGCTCTGAAGTAAGACCGCTTGATCCACGGTTAAGGCGCACCGGGAGGACTCTTCCCAACCAGAGGCAGTCCTCGTGCCACCTCGGCCCCGGAAAGCTATCCGACGACACGGCACGGCACGCGGACGGACGCAGCGCTGCACGGGGCTGAGGGCAGACGGCTCCTGGGCTAAGGGCTGCGTCTGCGGTTCCTGTTCCCAAACAGCCTCACAAGCCATGCGGGGCACGTGGCACACCCTACCCCTGGGGTGTCCAACGACAGGGCCTGCCGCGCCTCATGCTGAAAATGCAGACGAGGTCCTGCCCCAAGTCCCAGAGGGGCCCGGGCATCGGATTTTCACGCGCACTTGTGCCGACTCTTCACTCCTTCCCGCACTCGGGAACAGCCCTTTCTGTGCGACACGAGGCCCAGCAGTCACCACCGCACCTTCCCTCTCTCTGAAGGCGGGGCAGGAGTGTCCCAACGGGCGTCGAGAAAGGAGGACCCTTAAACAGGCAAGGGCTGCCCCAACGGACGTCGAGAAAGGAGGACCCTCAAACAGGCAAGGGCTGCCTGGAGCCTCGGCGTGCCATCGCTCTGCCTGGGGCTGCTCTTCCTCCCATCGAGCTTCCGTCGGCAACTTACCCTGCGTGTGCACACGTGCACGAGTGTGGGATGCGTGTTTTTGTGCTACCCGCGCTCAGTGTCACACACTGTGAACGCAACTAAGGAGCCCACGGCGTGGAAGCGCCCACGGACGGGAGGGCTCGGCGGGGCGGCTCAGCGTCACACCTGCCCACCTCAGGAGAAGCGAACACGCTCGACAGGGTCTGACAGGTGGGAGAGGTGTGTGAGTGTGACCTCTTGGTGGCCGTGCACACGGTCGTGAAAGAAGGGTGACTGACACGCTCTCTCTCTAATATTTAAGGGGCTGCACTAGCAACCCTGAACCCACGGGCCGTGGACACACGCAGCGTCTGGTCAGGAGGGCTCACGTGCACATCCTTGGTGGGGAGGAAAACCCGAGTCCTGGTCTCAGTCCTCAGTGCTCACGGGTTGGCCTTCGGAGCACGGCCTATGTTGTCGGCAGTGAGGACGTGTCCGACCCGTGTCTCCTTGCGGCCGTCCTCAGCCACACCCTCTGTGGGAGCACCACCCGACGCCCCGGACAGGAGCCGAATACCCTTATCAGTGTTCCAACCAGCCACAGCGGGAGGGGGCACTGTCCCCAGAGTGGCCTTCAGTCGCCTGATTCCCCGACGGGAAGCAGTGAGAGGCGGAACTACCAGGGAGCCTGGGCTCGTCCGAGCCTGCGTAAACCTCAGGACGGCTGTCAGCGCTCACGGCCTTGAAACACGCGTATCCTGTCCAATTTTCAAACCGAGATTGAAGTACAGACCCCCAGGGCGCCAGCAGTGCACGCGCCGTACCCGGCGACCCGGCAAGGTCACGGCAGCCCCCTGTGCGGCCCCCGGCTGGCCTCGCTCCCAACGTGAGGGCAGAGTGTAAACCGGGCCACCGGTAAGCTTCTGAGTCGGCAAGGCGACAAGATCCTCCAGGGCAGGCACAGGACGGCAAGCTCGGTCAATTCCTTTAACCCAAAACTGCTGACAGGAGCAGAGAGCAGACAGCCGTGCTCCGGGAAAAGCCGTGTCTCAGGGCAGCCCGCCGGGACGGACAGATCACAGGTGCCCCACACAGCCCTGTCTGGGGCAGCCCACCGGGACAGTCAGATCGCAGGTCCCCTGCACATCCCCGCCCGGGGCAGCCTGCTGGGACGGAGAGACCCCAGGTGCCCTGCACAGCCCACCGGGATAGACAGACCCCAGGTGTCCCGTCCGGCACAGCCCACCGGGATAGACAGACCCCAGGTGTCCCGTCTGGGACAGCCCACTGGGACGGTAAGATCCCGGGTGCCCTGCACAGCCCCGCCTGGGGCAGCCCACCTGAATGGACAGATCCCGAGTGCCCTGCACAGCCCTGCTCAGGGCAGCCCGCTGGGACAGAGAGAACCCAGGTGTCCTGCACAGCCCACGGGGATGGACAGACACCAGGTGCCCTGCAGAGCCCGGCTCTGGGACAGTCTGCTGGGACAAACAGACCCCATTGCCCTACACAGCCCTGCTCAGGGCAGCCCGCCAGGATGGACAGACCCCGCTGCCCTGCACAGCCCCACCATAATCCGTCCAACACGGCGAAGCGGCTGCCTCACGACACCAGAGCCCACGGATCTCGGGTGGAGCAGGACTCCCACCTGATCTTGTTGAAGATGTCAGCCCCAGACTGCTCCAGCAGGACATTCTTAACAAAGGTGCGTGGGACGGAGACCTTCTGGGTGCTGGCATGGATCAAGTCCTGGCGGATGTGGGCTCTTCGCATCACGCTGGGACACAGGCTCTCGGCAGCGTCGACCATGGACTCAAGAAGCGCCTGCAATGCAGAGCGAGGACGGGGTGACTCATGCCAGTGGGCGCCATAAAGCTCCAGGTGACAGGACGCAGGGCCCTGGAGGACAGGGACGCTGCAGCCCCGGCTGGCTGCAAGGCTGGGGTGGGAGATGAGGCAGGACAAGACACGGTTAGATGGCGCGCTCTTCTCAAAAGAAATAAACGAAATGTAAACAAAGACAGTAACTTTCACCAACCTAGACTCACACTCCTGAGACTGTACTGAATAGAAAGCCGAGGCCCATCAGCACGTGTGCGGACCGTGTATGACTGCGTGGGCACGGGAGGTCTGGAAACCCCCAAGATGTTAACAGTGGCCCCCGCTCTGCAATTTCGGGGGACTTTGGCTAGCGACTTGTAAACATAAACGCAGAGCAGGTTTCCGTTTTTATCGTCAGAAGCAGCGAAGCTGACTGAGTTCTAAACGTCAGGAAGAAGCATGTCTCGTCCCTCAGGGAAGACAGAACAGGGCTATTCTGGAACGACGGAGTCAGCAGGACTGCAGCCCCACCGCCCTTTCCCATCCGTCTGCCTCTGCTCGAAGTGGATCGAAATATCCACAGTTAAATAAACAGGGCACGGAGGACCTCGCCATTCTGTGTGCTCGGGAAGACAGGCACTTAAATGCCTCGAAATGCACAACACAGTCCTCTTCATTTACTGAATCTTCTAGGCGGGCACATCGCATGGAAGGACAGAGTTCACGAGCTCCCTGGAGAGCCGTGGCAACAGCTGATGTGTCCCCAGAAGGAAACAGGCCAGATCACTTCGGGACTCCACACGAAGCTGTCGGGGACTGCCTTGAAAGGCAGATGGCACGGATGCAGCTCTGCGTGAGAAGTGACCCTGTGTCGCTGTCCGAGGAAACTACCCCAAGGACGGGCTGGTCTTGGCCTACCTGTGAGCACGTGAGCAGTGAGCCAGGGCAGGTCTCTGCTCTCAGCACTGCGGACCTGTTCCAAGCCCCTTCCGCCTTAGCCCTGCCACCTGGGCGCCTCCTGGCAGCCCCATGGCCCCGTGTCTCCCTTTCCGGTCTCCAAGTCAGATGCGGTAACTGGAGACAACTTTTCTGGAAGCGGACTTCTCTCTCTGCTTGGAGGGCAGGAGGAGAAGGCAAGCTCCCAGCGGAGGCGAGCTGTCACACAGGGACACTGAGGGTGGCAAGTCAGGATGAAAGGGATGTTCACCCGGACCCACAAGAGGTCACTCCCGAACTCATCCACAGCTGAAAAAGGCATTGCCTCGAGTTCCACCATGCACACACCTGCCCGTAGTTGCACACACACTCACGCTCACACGCGCCTCCAGGGCTGCAGGGCTGCAGGATGAATGCTGTCACACGGTTCAATCCTAACAACTCCGTCTCTAAGGAGCAAACCCACAAACCTTGAGCTGCTCGTCCACGACTCTGGTGACCTCTCCAGCCATGGCCTCCAGGGTCTCCTGAATCGGCCTGGACAAGCCGCTGGCTGCCGACCCGGACGTCCCGCCGACATGGTACAGGTTTGGCAGCAGCTGGAAGGGAAGCACGGTCAGCCTCTGCACTGAACAGCACGTGAGCGAAGTCGGGCCTGAGCGCGGGGGCCGAGGGCGGTGCCGGGGTGGCCTGCAGCCCTGGCTCCCTGTGTGGGTGAAGAGCAGGAGGCCAGCACAGTGGCCACTGCCGGCGTGACAAAGGTCAGGGGGC